AGAGAGAGAGAGAGAGAGAGAGAGAGAGAGAGAGAGAGAAAGAGAAAGAGAGCTTATCGTACACTTGAAACGGACCAAGCGCACCTCTGCAGACGCAGACTTCCGATTGACGCGCGCCGCAGCTGCAACTCACGGCGACTCGCGCACAATACCGATGAGTTATGCACAAAGATTGCTTCACGATAACTCTGCGCAATAACGGCATTTCTATCGGCATTGTATTCCGCCCGCTTGTAAAACTAAGCTCCAGATAAAATCGCGGCTCGAGTCGTGGGCGCATATAGTCGTACGTACCGCGATAGCCATAATTAATTTTGTATTAGCTTGTTACCTGTGTTATCATGATTATCATATCGTACTGCGCGGACAATATTGTACAATAACTGATAAAGAACTTGTTATGTTTAACAATTGAGTCTTTTTGGTTTTTCCGATAATAACGTATACAAAATATATATATATATATATCTCATCATTTCTTCGAATCGCGAATCCTCGAGGTAATATCGATTTTTATCGTACGAAGGTGTCAGGATAAATCGCAGAGATTTTTTGCAGGGAATTTCTTAAAGATATGAATTTATCGAAGAACGGGAATGTGTCCGAAAATATCATTCGTTGTTACATACGAGCTCCTTCCCCCCCCCCCTCCCCCGAGCCCTCAATCGATTCAAGCCCGCGGCGCTTCTGCGTGAAAATTCTCTCCTTACCTTTGTCGGTAACTCGCAGCTTCGTCGATTGCAATGCATCGCGCAAATTGAAAATTGTTCGATGGGCGTATAATTACGATGGGCAATAATTATCGTGCTCGCGCACGCACATAAGCGCACATGAGCCTTAGCGGGCTGAGCGCCTCGCGGTTCGCGACGCCGGGGGATATAGCGGCTAATCGGCGACGGCGAGTCTTCCTCGTGACCGATACAGATGCAAGTTTAACGGACGGACAAGACACCGCCGCGTCCGGAAACTGCACGCTCGCCGCGGGCACCGCGCCGCGCCGCGGCGTAGGCGTAGGGGGCTTTATTCACGTCATTCACTGCTTAAGACGTAGTCGGCGGTGCTCGCAAAAAACCGCCCGTTGCATCTCCCGATCGTTGATCTTTGCCCGCTAGAACGAGAATAGCTCTCTCTCTCTCTC